GGGGGGGGGGGGGGGGGGGGGGGGGGGGGGGGGGGGGGGGGGGGGGGGGGGGGGGGGGGGGGGGGGGGGGGGGGGGGGGGGGGGGGGGGGGGGGGGGCGATGACTAGGGTATGTATACCGGGAGGAACTGGGGTATGAGGGTCTGATGGGGGAGGTGGATGTCAATGGTATGGAGTTCCATTGGGGGGTCTCGGTGTACTGAGACGGCATTTTGTTTGGACCTGCCAGTTGACATGGAAGGGGAACTCGGACTCTAGAGGAGAGAGGGCAGCGACTGGTGTCGTCCCCTCGTTATTGGCCAGAGAGTTACCTTCCAGACTTCATGGAAAATAATAATAAAAACTGACACTTCGGAAAAATACAATAAACAAGAAAAACATAGGCACGCATCATTTCATATTCATCACAACAATATCACGGTGGAAGCGAAACTAACTGTGCTACGGTTTCGTGAGAAAGTCCGTACACTGCAAAGCCGTGGACACGTGCACGATCTCAAACTCCCTCCGCGCTACGCGCCCCCGACTGAAGTGGTGGCGAATGCCGATGTGCTTATAGAACGGCGTGGTGGCGGGGTTGACCGCAAGGTGAATGCCCCCCTCGTTATCTTCGAACACCAGAGTGCACCCGACATCGCGACGCGGAAAAAAAAATCCAAATGTACCGCAAGAAAATCGCCTCCGTCAGTCCGTCACCCATGGCAACACACTCACTCTGCTTCGGTAGAAACTCGTCAATCAACCCAAAAACGAAGGTAATCAAAAAATCGTCCCGGTTTTTCCGTCTTCTTCTTGCCGGAGACCCGTGTGATCTCGTCATATTCGCTCATCAATTCTGATTTTCTCTTCGAAGCTGCGGACTAAGCTACCTTGTTCTTCACCGCTGAGTCGGACGGATGGGCATTTGCCGTGCCGCGCACACACTCTTCGTGTCATCATGATACACGGAGAAGTCCTTGGATCCCTGGAGATTAATATCTACGTACAATAGTGCCGGGCACATCCAAGCGAAGGCATGCCAAGAAAAACTGAGGGCAAGATTCCTCTCTGACTCGCAACAACTTCTGTCAAGGAGTGTGGCTGCTAGCATGAATAGGGTACATCTTATTCTTGATAGGATGCGGGTCGGTCAGGAGGTATACCCTTCTGACCCCTACCCCCTTAGAATTGTCTACTCTGTGTACCCCCCTGAGATGAAGTTGGATCCCCACTTCATCCCAGACCTTTGCNTCTTCTTCTCTTCTCTTGCTTCTGCGTTTCTAATACAAGCGATATTCAGTCTCTCCCTTCCAAGTCGCGGACATATACAACAATAACAGTAAAACCGAGTTTATCGGGAAGCCACGATCTTCAGCTATCACGGAAGCTGCTACTCGGCTGCATCGGCCCGGTGGCTGCGGAGGTACCGTCACCCGCAGGAGTCCCGCCACCCCGAGAGTGGTGTCGTAGTTGAGCCTTCTCTACGACACCACTCATTTCTTCAACCAAAGGCGACAAATCGACACCAAACTATGTGTGCTGTGTCGCTAGAGGTAGCGAGTGTCGTTGGAGTCGGTGGCGGGTGAATTTCATCCGGTGGGTGCAGTGAAACACCTATATCCGAGGGCCACGGCGCCCCCACGTGCCATGTCGACGTACGAGCTATTCTCCGATGTGNGTACCGTCACCCGCAGGAGTCCCGCCACCCCGAGAGTGGTGTCGTAGTTGAGCCTTCTCTACGACACCACTCATTTCTTCAACCAAAGGCGACAAATCGACACCAAACTATGTGTGCTGTGTCGCTAGAGGTAGCGAGTGTCGTTGGAGTCGGTGGCGGGTGAATTTCATCCGGTGGGTGCAGTGAAACGCCTATATCCNGCTATGTCCGAGTCCCTCGAACAGGCACATGGGCGATATGGGTGAAGAGGGGAGAGGGGGGTTGCCCTGGACAGTCTCGAGAGGGTATTCGGCGTACACGTGACTCCACCCCGCCAAAACGTCATACATTGATAGGTTTAGTTGTGGGCTAAGGAGAGAGTTGAAGTCACGGTGCTGCTACCGACGGCACAGAGGAAGGTCGCCTCGCGTTGCCGGCCTACAAAATGGACACCCCAACGACCAGGCTTTGGAGAGGATGCTGACAGACATTGCGTGCAAGACTAACATCGTATTCAACGCTAACGACCGGGTCCGACACTCAGTTAGCTGCGCCTGCATAACGTAGGCAAGCAAGAACGCCCGACCATAAACACGGCCCAGCGAAAAAAATAACAAATTACAGAAAGTTACACGGAAAAACGCGCAGATAAGGCCAGATAGCACGCATAGCGCGTACTTTGTCGTATGCAATTCCAAACATCAGTGTTAAGGAGTGTGGCTGCTAGCATGAATAGGGTACATCTTATTGTTGATATGATGCGGGTCGGTCAGAAGGTATTCCCTTCTGACCCCTACCCCTTAGAATTGTATACTCTGTGTACCCCCTGAGTTGACGTTGGATCCCCACTTCATCCCAGACCTTTGCTGATTGTCTCTCAGCAATAACAAGCAACTTTTCCATCTCAACGTGGTCGTGGACAAGCGTGTCAACGACAGAACCTTCATCTATCTCTAGGAGCAAGCTACCGCCCACGGCATCACTCCTTGAAACTTGGCGTCAGCTGGCATTACACGGCAAGCGGGTGCTGGACGCAGCTTCCACACTGCTGTGTGTTGTTGCCACGCTTTTTTCACGGCCACCGGGTTGCTTGTTATTTGGTCTCACCACCCACGAGAATCTAGACTTAGCCTCTTCTCTGCTTCCTCTCCTGTAGAGATGCTGGCTTGTGATGCTTTTGCGAAGCGCCCGCGGGACTGGGACCTTGCAAAGGATACGCGCCTCGGAGGCCATCGCGATGTATTGTTTGGGTGATTTTTCGTACGTTCGCCGTCCCTCGAGAGCTATTTTGTCTTCATCGGCAGTCCATGAAGTGATTTCCGTGGCGGATACCCTCTGCATGGAGCGTCCTGAGTTGCTGGCCTTATGTAGTGGGACCCGAGATGACAGCATGCTTCCCACGTCTGCTACCACCTCTACTGCATTCATGCCGGCGTACCGGCCGATGTCAGCGGATTTTCCTGTTGTGCTCTCCNGCACACAAATTGGGTGTCAGCCGCCCCACCAGCCTTCCCTCCATTTTTCGAAATCACATGGCACTTTTTTTCGGGGAATCGTTCACCATCAAAGCATTTGAACTAAAAACCTTTCAACAGCGCAAACCCACAGCGGTTTTTGCTCGCACTTCGGCACCAGTTGCGGAGGAACGCCATGCTGCTCTGCGTGTCTTTTGGTCGGAAAACCTCTTGTCCCCATGTAACACGGGCCCTGTTGTGCTAGCTTCTTCTGCTGTTTGTGCGTGGCATGGTGTGCTTTTGGACGCTTTTTCTGCTTGGTTGGATCCGCTTCAACCTCGTGTGCACCAAGCTTTATCACTGGGCGTATGCTATCTTGTGGATATCTCCGCCTTTCGCATGGACCTCGGCTTGCTCTTCCCAAAGTTGGGCCCGGCTTTACTGCTTCTGCTGATCTTGGTGCTGCTGCCTCAACTGCGGTTGGTTATCCTACATCTACTGTGTCTGGCCCTGCTGCCCTTTCCAAAATCGATCGTAGCTACCCTCTCTCTGGCCCTGTTCTTGTTAACAAACAGGACACCATGTCCAGCGGCGATGTGGAACTCCTGGGCGACAATGTGGAAATCCTGGATTACGAACCCGAGGGCGAGGCTCCCACCGCAGAGCAGTTCCCAGCGGCGGGTGCAGAAGACGAGAGCCCCCCCATGCCCATGGTGTTCATCGTCTATGATTTGCTGGACAACATCGCCACAGCAGATCCGGTGGAACTGGAGCAAGCCTACAACACCGGACGTGTCTCTCTGTAGGGTATGGTAGAAGCGGCCCATCTGTCGTCCGATTCCCCCCTTTTCGTTCCTCCTTTCTCGCTCCCGCCGTACGACAGATTAATCCTCTTGCCCCACGACGAGTTTATGGCGTACCAAAGGTTGAACGGGATGTGGTGCGACGGTCTTGCCGGGAAGATAGCAGAGGCGGAGGCGTGAGAGCAGGCGAAGCGCGAGCACGCGGAGCGCTTGGCGGAACGGAAGGCTGCTCTGGCCGCTGCGGCGAGGAAGCAGGAGGAGGAACGTGAGGCTGCTCTGGCTGCTGCGGCGAGAAACCAGGAGGAGCAGCGTGCGGCTGTTCTGGCGGAGCGTGAGGCGTATCTCCAAGTGGCTAAGGCGAAGCAGGGGGCGCTCCGATCGCGGCTGAAGGAGCTGGAGCCCCGCCACGAGGACCCGCGAGCAGCCCCCCAACCCCCGTCGCCGTGTTATCGTCCCCCCCCCCACGCAATCCCAGGTGCCCCTTGGTTCCCATCGTACCGCCTCGCCGCACGAGAAGGAGCGGAAGGTGGCGGCTTCTCCGGCGAACGAGCAGGAGCGGAAGAGGACAGCGACTCCGGAGTTTTCGGTGACTTTGGGTCTTCCGGCCGGTGCTGAAGACGGAGCATCGTTTGCGGCGGCAACCACGGTGTACGAGTTCCACTTTGGAGATACGACGTTCCTGTCCCGCCCGCTGGAGATGCCTGCAGAAGGTGTCACTTTCCACGATGAGGACAAATTGGCAGCTCTTTTTGCATGGGCTGGCACCAAACAACTTGTCCGTGCACAATTCCCCCCACCGCACACCGTTGCTTTCGGGCACATCTACCACACCCCGTACCTCGCGAATCTTCCGCCTTCTTCGCAGCAGTCCGTGTTCCAGCTTTTGTTCGATCTCCGTCGTGCCACCTTTCCTGAAGGTCCTCAAGGAACGTCGGTGGTGATCCAGGAGGGAGGACTCCAGCTGCCTCTTTCTCGTGCTGCTTCGACCAACGACTTCAAGCACGATCTACAAGCCCCCCGGCAGGCCTCTTCACGCCCTGCGCATGGTTCTGGAGAGGACAAGGACTGCAGTAGGTCGGCGGCTCCGGTGTCCAAGAGCTGGAAGGACCGTTGGGGCGACCGGGATTCGACGGCCAANTCCAGGAGGGAGGACTCCAGCTGCCTCTTTCTCGTGCTGCTTCGACCAACGACTTCAAGCACGATCTACAAGCCCCCCGGNTCTTCCGCCTTCTTCGCAGCAGTCCGTGTTCCAGCTTTTGTTCGATCTCCGTCGTGCCACCTTTCCTGAAGGTCCTCAAGGAACGTCGGTGGTGATCCAGGAGGGAGGACTCCAGCTGCCTCTTTCTCGTGCTGCTTCGACCAACGACTTCAAGCACGATCTACAAGCCCCCCGGCAGGCCTCTTCACGCCCTGCGCATGGTTCTGGAGAGGACAAGGACTTGAGTAGGTCGGCGGCTCCGGTGTCCAAGAGCTGGAAGAACCGTTGGGGCGACCGGGATTCGACGGCCAAGAGCGGGACGGACGACCACACCGCTCCACCCAGTCTTCGCGAAGGCGCGGCGTCGGAGATAACAGGCGAGGGCGAGCCGTGGGGAACCAGCCTACCGGGTCTTCGCCGGCGAGCAGCCATCACCGGAGCAGGAGTCGGAGCGCAGAAAGTCAACAGCGCACCAATCCTTCGTCTAGGCGTGGCCGGAGCGGAGACCGGCGTGGGAGAAACACGCCTCCGTCTAGGCGTAGCCGCAGCCGGAGCCAGAACCAGAGCGGGGGCAATAGCAGGGCGACCAGCACTGACAGCAGTCGCGGCGGAAAAGGGCGACGGAGGTCAGGCCACGGTAACAGGCAAGTGATGTATGATCGAGGTGATTTTCGTAGCTCTGGGTTGTTCGAGGAAAACAAGGATGCTTCAGAAGACGGTTCTCTCTGTATTTCACCGCTTGTTCTACGCCCTCCCGCTGATGTAGGCCAACCGAGCAGGTCTTCTTTGGCTTTCAAACTTGCCAACATCCAACTTCGTGAACGTTCAGCCGCTGTGAAAAGCCATGCCCCTGCCCATGCCGTTATGGATCATCCCACATCTTCCTTGCCTTTGGACGAACCTGTGGAGTCACCACGCCATGCCGCATCATACGCCTCGACTTCGGCTTCCCGTACTGAAATGCTGTTGGAACAAGTACTCACTCTCCTGCGAGCAAATTAAGTAGTGGATGCTGCTGCCGACGCGAATGTACAACCTCCTGTGCCCCCCCACGCTCCTAGCGTGCCACCACCTGCCCCATCTTCTTCCCCACCAACGCGTCCTACACCGATGCAAGACCACGCTTCGAGCTTTTCGGGAGCTCCTGTGGGACGCGATTTTCGTCCCGAAACCGCTGCCAGGACCACGCCAGGATCATCGTCATCAGCCACAAGGTCGGCGACAGTACCGGTCGAGCTTGCGGCGGCACCGTCAGCGTCGACAGCCCCAGCCCTGTTGCAACAGCTTTCGGTGGTATCGCCCCCCCCCCTCCAGCGTGCGTCTGTTCTGATTGATCCTGACTCTGCGACCGGCCACATCGTCGATCCACCGAGTCAAGCGGCATCACCGGTGCCACAGGACGATACTGGTTTGCCTTTGTCTTCCACGGGAGCGAGAGCGAGGCAGGAGGCTCTGCACGCTGCGGACGCCGCTGCAGCGGAGGCCGACACCATCCGCATTCAAGACAAGATGGACAAGCTGAAGTCGGAATAACTTGATAATAGTGTCACACGCTTGCCCCTCGGTCCTGATCCTGATGAATTTGCTCGCTTCGCGTCTAGCTGCAAGGGTGTGGTCACAGAGATCCTCAACAAAAGCGACGTCAAGCGCAAGCAGACTTTCAGTTCCTCCACCTGGGTCATCGGATGGCTTCCGTTGTTGCGCAAACTTGTCCGTGCTGCTGTCGTTGAAGGCCAACCCACCAACCGTGCCACTCTGGAATTTCTTGATGCCACCTTCCTACAGGTAGAAAACCATCTGCGCAAGGAACCGGCAGGGCCATCGACGTACGCCTTATTCATCCAGAAGTTGGCGGCCGCCTGGGACACTCAAGACAAGAGCTCGGGGATTGATCGTCTTCGCAGTTTGGCGTATCCAACGGGGAGACTTACGGAGAATACATTCGTCGCTATTAGGCTCTGGCCATGACCGTCATGGTTTCCCACCACGCGTTNGACCGGCCACATCGTCGATCCACCGAGTCAAGCGGCATCACCGGTGCCACAGGACGATACTGGTTTGCCTTTGTCTTCCACGGGAGCGAGAGCGAGGCAGGAGGCTCTGCACGCTGCGGACGCCGCTGCAGCGGAGGCCGACACCATCCGCATTCAAGACAAGATGGACAAGCTGAAGTCGGAATAACTTGATAATAGTGTCACACGCTTGCCCCTCGGTCCTGATCCTGATGAATTTGCTCGCTTCGCGTCTAGCTGCAAGGGTGTGGTCACAGAGATCCTCAACAACAGTGACGTCAAGCGCAAGCAGACTTTCAATTCCTCAACCTGGGTCACCGGATGGCTTCCGTTGNTCCTCCACCTGGGTCATCGGATGGCTTCCGTTGTTGCGCAAACTTGTCCGTGCTGCTGTCGTTGAAGGCCAACCCACCAACCGTGCCACTCTGGAATTTCTTGATGCCACCTTCCTACAGGTAGAAAACCATCTGCGCAAGGAACCGGCAGGGCCATCGACGTACGCCTTATTCATCCAGAAGTTGGCGGCCGCCTGGGACACTCAAGACAAGAGCTCGGGGATTGATCGTCTTCGCAGTTTGGCGTATCCAACGGGGAGACTTACGGAGAATACATTCGTCGCTATTAGGCTCTGGCCATGACCGTCATGGTTTCCCACCACGCGTTCAAGCCTTCGGATGCGCAAGTGCAGATAGCTGTTCGAGACTCCATGTTGAAGAAGTTTCCGGTGGTGTCTGGGCAGGTGTACAAGGATGAGCAGCGTTCCATGGAAGCCCTTTTTGGGTGACATGCTTCGTATCTAGATGATATGTGGGGATGTGTTGGACAAGCGTGCGTTCGCGCACACGCCGGCGGTGCATGGAGATGATTTCTTTTCGGTATCTTCCACGAATGCTAGGAGTTCGTCTGCTGTTTCGCGTGCTGTAGCTTCTTCGGCGTTGCGTTCAACGGTGACCCCTTCGTGGAGCCAAGGTTCTTCGGCCTCCGTGATGAGTGTTTACCCTCTACCTAATGATGATCGGGACCCTTTTCTGTTGCACTACAGCGACTGGTCGTTGCAAGGACACTTCCAAGAGGTGTACAACGTCGCTAGTGAGATGGCTCTAACCAAGAATGATCCGCCATTGATTACCCCCTTGGTCTCGGCTGAAGAGCGCCGCAACGCGCTTCGACTGTACAAGGGCAAGTGCCTCAACTGCTTAGGAGAAGACCACTCCTTCGAATGCTGTAATCGTGGTTTCGTGAACGCCACCGGCTTGCTTAACAATGACATCAAGTTCTGTATGGAAAAAGATCCCACCCTTTGGAGTCGGTGGGAAAAGCGCATGACCTCGTGTAGACGCCCTACAGGACGCAACCCACATCGAAACCACCCCTTAGGACGCGCCCGCCGCTCATCTGACACATCGGACACCAAACAGTCCTCACACACAGAGCACTCGTCGGACGCTTCCACTTCGACAAAAAGGGGCTGGAGGGGTAAGAAATGACAAGC